GGGAGGCTGAGACAGGAGGATCACTGTGAGTTTCAGATCAGCCTGGACTACATAGTAAGTTCAAGGCCAGCCTGAACTACAAAACGAAATCCTGTCTCACAAACAAACAAATGAAAAAGTTAAGAGAAAAACACCAGATAGTTCATTTTCAGGGAGCAAATGATGAGGCCATTTCCAAGAAAAGCTGTAGCGTGCCCTCCAAACATGTGAAAAGATGCCGTTTCACTCCAAATATGTAAGATGTAAATTAAATCTACAGAGTGCGAGTGTTCACAAGGGCAGGGAGAGACCAGTACTCTACACACTGCAGTGGGGAGGGTAAATTGGCATAGCCATGTTGCAGAACCATGGACCAGAATGTAGCAAGACTAAATGTGTGCATTCTACAGACTTGGCACTTCTGAGCCTAGGCAAAGAGTATCCATATATTTATAAATGGCACGCATTGAGTGTTCACAGCAGCATTACTTATAATTCTCCCTCTCTTCTTTTTTTTTGTTTTTTTGTTTTTTTGAGACAGGGTCTCACTATGTAGTTGAGACTGACCTAGAAAAGTGTTCACAGCAGCATTACTTATAATTCTCTCTCTTTTTTTTTTTTTGTTTTTTTGTTTTTTTGAGACAGGGTCTCACTATGTAGTTGAGACTGACCTAGAACTCACTATGCAGCCCAGGCTGGTCTTGAACTCACAGCAATCCTCCTGCCTCAGCCTCCCAAGTGCTGGGATTACAGGCATGCGCCACCATGCTGGACTTACTTATAATTCTCAAACTATAAACTATTTAAAGGCTCACTGAGAACAGAATATATAAACAAAGTTTGAAGTGCACGGTGGAATACCGCACAGTGACAAGAACGAAGACTTTCGAACCTCACGCGTAAGTATGGATGAGTCTGCCAAGCATACTGAGAAGTGTTTGACAATGACCCTAGGGATAGCTAAACTTTGGTTCCATATCTGTTAAACGCAGAAAGAGATGGAGGCTGGGGATGGTGGTGCATTCCTGTAATCCCAGCTTTTAGGAGGCTGAGGCAGGAGGATCACTGAGAGTTAAGAGGCCAGTCCCGGGTCTGTAGTGAGTTAGTCCAAGGCCAGCCTGAACTACTTAGTGAGGTGAGGCCTGTCTGAAAAAAAATAGAGGTGGAGCCAGTCTCTGCTGTGAGCAGTGAAGGTATTGGGAAAACAGAATATATAAACAAAGTTTGAAGTGCACGGTGGAACACCGCACAGTGACAAGAACGAAGACTTTCGAACCTCACGCGTAAGTATGGATGAGTCTGCCAAGCATAGTGAGAAGTGTTTGACAATGACCCTAGGGATAGCTAAACTTTGGTTCCATATCTGTTAAACGCAGAAAGAGATGGAGGCTGGGGATGGTGGTGCATTCCTGTAATCCCAGCTTTTAGGAGGCTGAGGCAGGAGGATCACTGAGAGTTAAGAGGCCAGTCCCGGGGCTGTAGTGAGTTAGTCCAAGGCCAGCCTGTACTACTTAGTGAGGTGAGGCCTGTCTGAAAAAAAATAGAGGTGGAGCCAGTCTCTGCTGTGAGCAGTGAAGGTATTGGGAGTGGCAAGGTGGGGAGTGATCAGAAGGGGACCTGAGGCTAACAGTGTCAGTAATGCTTTGGCTTTTGGTCTGGGTGACGGTTGCACAAGTGGATTCACTTTGTGAAAATGTAGCGAGCCGAACATCTGTGATATGCACACGTCCTCTATGCATAATATACTCCAGGAATAACTCTTTTAAAAACTACACTAACGCTATATTTAACCTGTGAAATTGATAAAAATCCCAAAGTGTGTCTCCATAAGCCGTGGGATGCAGGCACTCTTCTACCCTGCTGAGAAGGGTACGGGAAGTGGGCAGCCCGCCCCACACCTCGCTCTCTGCATTTTTTCCATGTGACCACGCCAGAGTTATGTTCTTTGTAAACAAACACACACAAGCAAATGCACGCACTTCTGCCCTGCTGAGAAGGGTACGGGAAGTGGGCGGCCCGCCCCACACCTCGCTCTCTGCATGTTTTCCATGTGACCACGCCAGAGTTATGTTCTTTGTAAACAAACACACACAAGCAAATACGGAGTCCAGTGAGGCATTAGAATACATTCCTGAGCCTGATGAAGGGGTCCTGGGAACCCCTGATTTGAAGCCGAATCAGTCGGAGGTACCAGAGGCCTGGGCCTTGGGGTTGGCATCAGAAGTGGGGGCTGTCTTTGGGGCCGAACCTGTAGCATGTGGGGTCTCTGCGCTGCTGTGTCATTAGTGTCAGAACCGAATTGCATTGTGGGACCCCCGGGTGGGGTCGGAGAATTGGTTTTGGAAAAGACACACGTATTTGGCTTCAGGAGGGGAAAAGAACCCCTCACAGAAGTGTGGGTTTGCTCTTTGCTCTGCACAATGGTAGCATTCCTAGGAATTTTCCCCAAATACGAAGTGTGACTGCTAAAAAGTGGAACTATTTGTACTTACAGGAGATTGAAAGCACCCACATATCTGTCAGTGGGGGTTTGGTGGAATGAGCTGCTACTCAGTAGCACAAAGGAATGAGGACAGTTTCTCTAAACTGACATGTACAGCCTGCAAGATGCATTGATGCGTCAAAAAAGCAAGGGGCAGCAGCGTTTACGTGCTATCATTTGTACGAAAGAGGTAAAAAATTAAGAATATACAGACATTTGCTAATATTCTAAAGTTGATGAACAACCCAAATACTAATAAAAGTAAAGTTACCAACAAAGGAAGAGGACACATGGGTAGGAGGAGCCCCCGAAACCAGGGTTTCTAGGAAGATTTCTTGTATGATTTTAATTTGGGGACTAAATATACGATATGATCAAAAACTATAATGAATATTCCAAAATATATTTAAATATATGACAGTAAAAGACACAATACCATTCAATTTCCCTCAAAATTTTTCCCCTCGCTTCTAACACACTTATCATTCCTGCCGCTTTCTGAAGCAATTCTGGAAGATTTTCATAGCTTCAGTGGGCTGTCGTGGCTGCCTCTGTGTCCTGAATCAATTCAAAATATTCACCGTTTGTCTTAGCTACTTTTCTCGTTGCTCAGACAAAATATCTAACGTTCAAAGTTAAAGGAGGAAAGGTTTATTTCAGCTCATAGTTTGTGAAGATTTCAGTCCATATTCAGGGGTTCTAAGGCGGGGTGGTGGAGCAGAGGAGAAACAGTCCAGGGCGTGGCAGGCAGAAGGCAGGAAGCATCAAGCGTCTTCCCCTTTTATCCCATCCAAGCTACATGGCTTTTGAGTGGTGCCACCCACAGGCCAGGTGGACCTTCCCATTACCCACACCCACAACTATGCTAAACCGATTTAATCATCACACATCCAGGGTCCAGCCACCTCCAAAGAGCCCCACCTATGAGCATATGAGACTTTGGGGGACATTTAGATATCAGCCACAACACCTTCTATAGACCTTTTGACTTTTGGGAAGAGCCAGAAGTCTCATGGTGCCGAATCCAGTGAATAAGGCGGGTGACGGAGGACACGTCGTCTTGTTTTTATGAGCCTGCCTTTCTGCTGGATGGCACTGGGTGGCAGCACTCACCATATTTTTGATCAGACCTCCTAAAGCCTTTTAAGAAAGACTTCCAGTACTGCTTTGGAATGTGGCAAAAACAAGGGGATAAGAGCTTTGGGGGACATTTAGATATCGGCCACAACACCTTCCATAGACCTTTTGACTTTGGGGAAGAGCCAGAAGTCTCATGGTGCCAAATCCAGTAAATACGGCGGGTGATGGACGACACATTGTCTTGTTTTTATGAGCCTGCCTTTCCGCTGGATGGCACTGGGTGGCAGCACTCACCATATTTTTGATCAGACCTAAAGCCTTTTAAGAAAGACTTCCAGTACTGCTTTGGAATGTGGCAAAAACAAGGGGATAAGTGTGGTTGAAGTGAAGGGGAGCAGTTTGAGGGAGATTAACGGCAAGGTGTATTTAATAGTATTAAACATTTAAGCATGCCCTGTATATTTTGATCACTCCTGTACATATTTTATAAAAATTGAACAAGTTGGGCCGGGGATTTAGCTCAGTGGTTCCACTGCCTGCTTTGCAAGAGGTCCTGAGTTCGATCCCAGGTACAAAAAAGAAAAAAAAATTGAACAAGTTAATATAGAAAAATAACATCATCTAAAAATGGAAGAGAAATTGGAATAAATGTCCCATTGGTGGTACTAGATCTTTATTAGTTTTCCACCACAAATTTAGCTGCTTAAAACAACCATCAATTCCCACATGGTTTTAGAAAAATTGAGGTGGGCCCTGCTGGGTCCTCAGCCCATGGCGCCTGAGGCCCAGGTCAAGGTGTTGGCTAAGCTGGGTTCTGTCGATGCTCCTTTGGCTCTGAGCAGAATCCATTTCCTTGCTGAGTGAGGCTGGGGTCCCATCGCCTTGCTGGCTGTCCACAGGCACCACTTCCTGCTCCTGTGTAGGGCTGCCATCTTCCCCCACATCTTCCAAGGCATCTAAGCTGTGCGACAACCTCCTCACGTCCGTCCTGTCCAGATTCCCGTCAATGATCTGTTCAGCCAGAGAGAGTACCTCACTTTTTAGCACTCACGTGGTTCCATCAGGCTTCCCTGGCTGATGTCCCCGTTTTAAGGCCAACTGTGTCATGTAACAAGTCACACAAGGGTATTCAGCTCAGTGGTGCCAGCACGTGCCTGGCAACCGCAAGGTCCCAAGTCCAATTCCCGGTACTGGGAAAAAAAAAGTCACGTGATTAACATCTCTTCATATCTACAGCTTGGGTGATAATTATAGCAAAACATTTTTTGAAGCTGTCTTTGTTTTTCTTTTGTGTATGTGTGTGGGGGGGTTGATACAGGGTCTCACTATGTAGTTGAGACTGACCTGGAACTCACCATGTAGCCCAGGCTGGTCTCAAACTCACAATGTAGCCTAGGCTGGTCTTGAATTCACAATGATCCTCCTGCCTCAGCCTCCCGAGTGCTGGGATTACAGGCGTGTGCCACCACTTCCGTCCTTGAAGCTGTCTTTGTATTCTGCCACAACAACAGAGACTTGCCAGTGAGTTTAGAATATAGAATTGTGACTGTATTTCCCCAGTGGCAAATGTTCGAAGGACAGAAAGAATTTAAAAACAAACAACCCAAAACCCCAATTCTATCCAGTTGTCTCACATCAGTGCTGCTTAGGTACTGTTGTTTGAAACAATTAGATACCATTTAGAAAAAACAATAAGTGCTTGATTTCGCAGTGTGAGATCTGTGACTTTTAGTGAAGAAAAAAGGATATCAACTATAAAGCAGAAGCTGCTAAATAAAAGCCTGCAGTAATTTGCATAGGAAATGTCAATATGAATTCATGGTTTATTCTTAAAAGTCCACTCAAAAGGTGAGAAGGAGGATGGTACAGAAGCACGAGCACTCTTGCTGCAACGAACACTGTAGCAACCACAGGTGATGTCAAAATACCATTTCCCCGAGAGTAGATAAAGCCACCTTATGAAATGGCTTAGTCTAGTTCCAGACCAGAAAGTGTACAAACTGAGCCCAGAGCCCAGGAAAATAAAAAGAGATTTCAAAGACAATGGGGTCAGTTAAAAAAAAAGCCCAAAACACAAGACTGATCTGAAGGGACAATTAGAGCAGCGAAAAAGAACAGAAAGCCACGCATGCCTACCAGAAGGGTGGCTCATGCCTGCAATCCCAGCTGCTGTACTTGGGAGGCTGCAGACCCTGTTTCAAAATAAAAAGGGCTGAGGCTGTAGCTCAGTGGCAGAGCACCCCTGGGTTCAGTCCCTAGTATGGGTAGGGGTTTGGAGGAGAATAATTGCAATATAATGAAACATATCCAACGTAGAAAAATCTTCAAGGTTATACTTTAGTTTTTCAATCCGTTGGTCACCACTGGTGATTGCTAGGCAACCAACTCCTTCCTCTGAGAAATTAGTAAATAGGAAGAAAGAATCAGACACTTATTCACTTTTCCCATAAATTTCAGGGAAAGTTATACCAAATAAATTCAGAAGAAGAATAGGATTTTACGATCACGTTTTGCAAAACTTAATGAAACAATGGTTGTAAGCAACATAGGGGAGAGAAGGAACCCTTCTTAGTTCTTATGTGGACTCTTTGGACCTGGGAGTCTAATTAACAGAAGAGCTAATTCATAAGAGAAAGGCATACAAGCTTTATTCAATTTGTGTATACATCAGAATCTTTTTTTTTTTTTTTTTTTTTTTTTTTTTTTTTGTATTGGGGATTGAACTCAGGACCTTGCTCTTGCCAGGCAGGTGCTGTGCTGCTGAGCTATATCTCCAGCCATCAGGATCTTCACCAGAGAGTAAAGTCCAAAGAAATGACCAAACCATGATGCTTGCATACCTTTTAGACAAGGAACAGTAAATTTTTGAAGAAAGGCAGGATACATGAATCTGGACTGGGATGGTAAATTCTAAAGAAGTTACCAAGAGATAAATGAGGGGAAGGTGAACTTGTGAACTAGCGGCAGATAAGAATTACTTCAGAACTTGGTTACTTAGGTTCTTTGCAGCTCTGTCTCCCCCTGTGGTGATGAGGTTGTTTTCCATCCCTCCCAAAAGAAGCCTATGGATCGCTGCATATGTACTTGACCCTTTCTGAAGTCACAACTGGTTAGAGCTTGAAATAATCAACAAGCCAATCTGGTGCATTTTGCCTTAACTCTTTCAGCAACAATCCTTAACGTGTACGAAATCATTAGGTAAATGGCATCAATTCCTGTGCCACAAAACAATAGGGTGCGATGGGAAAATACACAACACCATCTTGGAAACAATCATGCAGTGGCGTGTGGACATCAAGCAGAAGAGAAAGTCAAAAAATATCTCTGTTAATCTTGGTGTAGTCAGAAGAAATGGACAGATTTCTAGATACTTATGGGCCCCTAGTGGCCGCTGCTGGAACTGCAGAAACCTTACCCCCCACCCGCCGCCAAGACTTGGAAGTCTGGGGCGAAGGCCTCCAAAGAATCAGGGAGGCACTTTAGTGTCTCAGCAAAGGAAGGAGGTGTGTGGGGTGGGTGGGGGGTAGAGTAGGGAATAGGAAGAAGGCGGAGCAGGAAGAGAAATGGATAAAAAGTACAGAAGAGAGAGAGAGAAAAAAAAATGCCAACATAGGCTTAGAAAACATGGCATCTTCCATATTTTTAGGAAGTATATAGTTCTAATAATCTTCAACACAGGGCTATAATTTGTGTCTCTACTCAAATATTAGACTTATGGAAGTACTTTCATGGATATAAATGATAGATTTTTAACAGAAAAAGTAATATATTGCTGAAATAATTGTTCCAACTTCAGTTTGAATGGCGGCCATATGCCACACAGAAGGTAGAGACATAACTGCATTTAAAATGTCTGTCACGAGCTGGCTGTGGTGACACATGCCTGTAATCCCAGCACTTGGGAGGCTGAGGCAGGAAGATCACTGTGAGTTCCAGAACAGCCTGGGATACGTAGTGAGTTCCAGGTCAGTCTCAACTACATAGTGAGACCCTGTCTCAAAAAACCAAAGTGGGGGGAACATAACAGAAAGAACAAAAGGTATATGAGAACCGTGGATTTAGCTCAGTGTTTCTGGTGCCTGCTTCACAAGCACAAGGTCCTGAGTTCAATTCCTGGTACCAAAAAAAAAAAAAGTATATTAAAAGATAAGCATCTCCAGCGGGGTGGGCAGGTAAGTGGACAGACTGATGCTTACAGTTGAAGAGCTCATATATTAGTTTTTCAGTCATGCTAGTGTGTCTCTGTTACTTTTTATTATTGTTGTTGTTATTTTGGTTTTTTGAGATAGGGTTTTGCTCTGGTCCAGACTGGCCTTGAACTCAATATGTTGCCCAAGCTGGATTTGAACTTGAGGTGATTCTCCTGTCTCAGCCTCCTGAGTGCTGGAATTCACAAGCGTGCATCCCCTGCCCCGATCTCTGTTACTTGTAATGTTGGATTATAAGGAGAAAAGCTGCCATTTGAAGCCCTTTGGTAAAGGGGATGGTTCTCAAACTCTGTCCTGATCTCTGCCCTAGCTTCTACCTCCTTGTTAATCCTACAGTGAAAATAGACCTGGGACTCCAAACCTTATTACCTGTTCCAGTTTCACGTTGAGCTTTGAAGATACTCCTGGGCCTGTGTCTCCCTCAACACCTGCTAGATGGATGTTTCTGGAAGTGTGTCGTCTTCAGGCTGGCACTGCACCCACACACACTGCTGGAAAATAGATATTTATGTAGCCATTTGGAAAGCAACTGACAATACCTATTAAATTAAAATAAACACATACCTTTCAACCCTGAAGTCCAACTCCTGTGAATCTACTCCATAGAAAGAGAAACATAGTACAAAAGACATACATATGGGAGAAAGCTTATTGCCGTGTTGTCCGTGGGAGGGACAAGTATAATCAAAGTAAGAAGGTTGAATAAACTTTAGAATAACCACACAATGGATTATATTATTAAACGATATTATTAGGTAAAGTGGTATCACTTGACCTGAAAGCACTTTCACAATGTGTATTGTTGAGAAAATATAGCACAGTGATGCATACGTACCTGTGTTTATAGCAGCACCACCATGCACAATAGCTAAGTCATGGAAGTGGCCCTGTAGGCCCAAGCGCAGATGAATGAATAAGGAAAATGTGGAGAACTACTCAGCCTAAAGAAGGAAAAATGTGAATCATTTATAGGGAAATGGGTGGATCTTGAGACCGTAGTTCAAAGTGAAATAAACTGTGAGGACCAAGTTTTCAGGTCAAGGTGGGCTCCATGCCCCTTACCCAAAATAGAGTGAATGCAAAAATTCCTTTCTGTAAAATCCCATTCTGTGTGACAGTCTCTCTGTGTTTCTGTTCCTCTTTTAAGGGCAAGTTATCCTAGGGCATCTTCACCCTGTTTCTGTTCCTCTTTTTATGATCTCAAGATGAATTCTTCCTGCTTAAAATAATCAATGTTTTTAAGAGGATTGATGAAATTGATTTAGCCAATATAGGTACTAGTCATAGCTTATATAGGTAGCCATTGCTAATATAGGCATTAGTCATTGCTCACATATGTAGTCTTTGTTAATTATAGAATTTGTTTAATCAGATGATCTTTAAAAAGAGGAATTGATTCTGTGAATGTAGGCCATTAGGTAATTTTCCAGTAAGTGCCCTCCTGGTGCCCCTCGAATATCCAATAAAATGTAAAAACCCTCCCAGTATCCCTCGAATATCCAATAGTGAGCGAGAGCTAAAAATAGGACCTATAAAAGGAAAAAGTCTCCCTAACCCTATATAACCCTGCTTCAAAGATGGATCTGGGCTCTTGGTCTGAAGCCGCTGTGACGGTGACACCTGAGAGTCCAGGCTCAAGTTTGCAATAAATTCCTCTTGCAATTGCACCGGACCTGACTCCTTGGTGGTCTTTGGGGACTTCACAACTTGGGCATAACAAAACCAGACATACAAAGTTGAATATTGAAGACAGGCATGGTGACACACACATGTAATCCCAGCACTCAGGCGGTTGAGGCAGGAGGGTGGCCGTGAGTTCAAGGCCAGCCTGGGCTACATAGTGAGTTCCAGGTCAGCCTGAATTGCATAGTCAGACCCTGTCTCCAGAAACAAAGAGAAGTGTGGGAGCCGGCCATGGCCTGTTGGCATTTGACATTGGAAAAATAACTTCTTCTACCATTGAGGCATTGATACAATCTATGACTCTGTCTGTTTGTTTATTTGGCTTTTCTGAGATAGGGTCTCAGCTATGCAGATGAGATTGACCTGGAGCTCACTGTGTAATCCAGACTGGTTTTATGGGATTACAGGTGTGCACCACCACAGCCGGCTCAAGGACCTTGTTCAGTTTGTTTGTTCTTTGACCCTGTGATGGGAGGAACTCAGAGATAGCCAAAGATCTGATCTTCTCTGCAAGAGTCATAAAATCCGGTCTTTGCATATGAATACTTGCTTGGTGCATCCTGTTGGTGTGCCTTTAAAAGGAGCTGTTTCTGTGAAATAAATCAGACCTCTTGTCTCTACACTATTGAGTGTGTTGTCCTTTCTCAATCCTCACTCCCCAACTCAGGTACGTTCGTGTTGCGACTGCTGGACCGCCACAGAAAAGCGGCTGGGGATTTAGTTCAGTGGCACCGCACCTGCCTTGCAGGTGCAAGGTCCTGAGTTCGACCCTCTCTACCAAAAAAAAAAAAAGCAATAATTTAAAAAGTTGTAAGAGCGTACCAGTGAATAAAACATTGTAAGAAATCATTAAAACACGACAAAATACACAAAAATGCATATTTTTCACAGAATATATAAAATATACAGAATATACTAATGCACTAACAACATGAGAAGATAATGGCAATTTAAAGTGAAGACTATCAAACTCGTGTTATATATGTATAAATTAAGTATGCAAATGGAACATTCTAGAAGATGACAAAGACAACTGACAATTGGTTTGACTTTTGAGACAGAGTAAATTTCTTGGGCTGAGAGTGTAACTCAGCGCAACAGCACTTGTAAGGTCCTGAGTTTGATCCCCCCACCACAAAAATAAGCAAGCAAGCAAACAAACAAACAGTGCCACAGTAAATTTCTTCTTGGATTCTTAATTTAATATCTAATCTTTCTAGAAGGCTTTTTGTTTTTCTAAGAGCCAGTAAAAAAGAAGCTGTCGGTCTGGACTCTTGTGAGGAAGGATTTCTTCCTTATCTGATGGTGTGGGGAGATCTGGACTTTCCAGCCAGGCTATCTTGAGCTTGAGTTCGGATTCCTTCTCTTCTGATCCTATTAAAATCTGAGACCTCTAAGCTCTGGGTTCTTCAGCACCACGAAGGGGCCAGTAACTGAACCTACCTCATGGCTGACTCCTAAGAAACGTTAAACACTGGTGTCCTATTAACCTATCGAGGCATTCGTTCATAATTTATTTGCATTTGTAGTGGAATTATAAAACAAAAAACCAACAAAACAAAACAAAACCGAAAACGCCGCCTCGGATGCTCTCGGCATCTTCCATTCTCTACCCCAAGGGGGCAGCCGGGGCTCCCGTGCGCTCGGCTTCAGGGCAGACTTGTTACTCGGTGGGAGGCAGGCAGTCGGAGGCAGTGAGCCTCCAGGACGGAGAAGGGCAGACTTCCCGACCCGAACCCTCAGGGTAGTGAGGCCGGAGGAGGCGGAGGCGAGAAATTCCTGGAAGGAGGAGCCCCGAAGGGCAGAGGGAGCCAGTTTCCTCTCTTCCCTCCGCCCCTCTGGTCCTCTTCTCCCAGGAGCTTCTCTTCTCTGCAGGGGGAAAAGCCAGGATGCCGCGCATGCGCTGTAGGCGGTGGGGGGGAGCGGTGACCCAGCTCCCCGGCTTCTCTCCTTTAAACCCGGCCTGGGGTCGCACGCGCTGGAAAGTACCCTAACAGCCCAAAGTGATCCCAAGCGGATCACAATTAATTGTGACTTCATTGGTACCGTGGCTTTGACCTCCTTCCCCTCGGGCTTTGGGCGCAGGATAGTTCTTCACAGGCGCACAGTAGGGACAAAAGTCTCACCCCCAGCAGAAAGGAGGAAACTTGTCCCTGTGGGGATGAACTGAGGCTCCGACCCCTGGCTTCTCGCCCACCCCGAGGAGCCTATCCTGACATCTGTGCTTTCACTTTCTCTTGTGTGTCAGCCTGTTCAATTCTTTGTTCAGGTACCAAGAACCCAGGACAGTCACAGCCCCTAACAACAGGAGGGTATCCGACATGGCAGGCAACCCCGAGGTCCAGCATGGCAGCAGAGCTGGGGCGCCTCGGAGTGAACCTGGGGCCTAGACCGGAGAGGCCTGGCCAGGCTTTGCTCTACTGCTAGGACCTTTTCATCAAGCCAGGAGAAGAAGGGGTGGACAGGGGAGGAATTAGGTGACTGTTCTACTTGTCCAGGGCTTTCAGTTGGATTTAATTTCATTTAAAGAAATTACATAGAATGCATCTTATGCAACTGCAAATATCTATCACGTTCTCTTTTTTCTTGTTCACTAAGGAAGTCGTTTACTTAACTCTGGTAGTTTCACCTTTCTTGTCTGTAAACCAGACAATAGTAGTGCTCATCTGTTGAATATGAAGATGGGATGAAAGCATGTGTAACAACAGTGTCTCCGACTGTCCCTGACAACCTGCTGTCACCGTTCCTTCACTCATTGGACCCTTGTGGCCTTTGGCCTTTGAATGTGATGCTACCTCACTCGGAATAATTGTTTCCTCTTCTATTGTTTGAATCCTACCGTGTCCTTGGGGGTCTTGCCTGATTCCTTCTTTTCCTGAATTTCACAGGCGACCGTTCTTCCTCTGAACCACTGAGCTGAATCCCTACCCCTGTTCCCGTCTGTTTATAGGGAGATGTCTCCTTCCCAAACCCCACACTATAGGCTTTCCACGGCCAGAAGTGATGTCAGTTACCTGAATGCCATCTACAGGAGGGCCTCAATTACGGAAGGTGTGCAGTGGGTGCTCTCTCGGAGGACTTGAGTCAAGTGATTCCTCTTTCTTTCCTGTTTACATCTCTAAGTCTCCCTTGCGTAATTAACTCTGAAGTGGTCATTACTGCGTGCTGTGACCCATCTCTGTCCCCAGCCCAGCACCAACGAGCTCATCCACCCCGAAATATCCAGAATGACATAATCGTTGGAAGATGGATGGTTGAGAACTGGAGTGCAAACATCTGGGATTCTGGGATGAAGCTGTCAGCCAGGCTCCATTCCTTACCTGTGCTATCACCTGAGCTGGCTCCAGAATTCCCCTTAGGCTTCTGCCAAAGCAAAGAGCTAAAGGCACGGACGGGCGTTTCCAGAGCTCTGTGACAGGGGCCAAGTAATAATAGCCAGTGTCTTTTCCAAGTTTGCTTCATAACTGAGTTCCCCACTTAAAAAAAAAAGTTTCAACTATTAATAGCATGATACTCACATGACATGAATGATTTAGGAGGGAACTTCACAGAGATAAGCAAACTAAGGTAGATAAAAGATGATGATGATGATGATTACTCTTACTATTATGAAACAGATTTTGAAACATTATCTAAAGTCAAAAAGCCAGGCGTACGAGGATTGCTGACTACAGATCTGTGTCTTTCACTTTACACCACTCTGTTTTTTGGTTTGTTTTATATGACTGTTCCTGAAGTCAACCTCAGCTGGCTCTCAAGGACTTTATTAGTCTTCAGGACAGGAAGAGGTTGATACTCTGTCACTTCTTGACAGACCTGGTTTATGGCCAAGCTTGGTTTCATTGCCACTTATTTAGGGAGGAACTGCTGTGACTCCCACACCGTTTAACACCACATGTGGTTGTCAGGAGTAAAGAAGGACAGAGAGAAAGACACAAAAAGAGCGAAAGAAATTTCTTATGGGTTTACTTAATTGGAAAGAGAATAGGAAATTTAATGTGAGGTTGCAATTGAATTGATTTGCTAATTGTGCTTTTATTAGGAAATATTTGCTAAACTGAATTATGGTTATGCAAAAGTCCATTAGCTCCAACTCTGTGAGGAAAAGATAATTGTTTTTATGTTGTTATAGTAATAAAGTCCAATATAATCTGGGCCTCTTTGTTCTGCAATTAAAGACAGTGAATATATTTACCTGAAACCCTCTGAGCATTTGAAACGCTCTATTTCTATTTCTCCTTTACTTTTCTTGAGACAGAGTCTTGCTATGTAGTTCAGATTGCCCTGACTCACTATGTAGCCCAGGGTATCTTTCAACTCAAGGAGATCCTTCTGCCTCAGCCTCGAAAGTGTTGCTAGCGATCAAATCCAGGGCCTCAAGCATACAAGGCAATTGCTCCACCCCTTCCTGCCCCACCCTTGACCCTGTGGGAAGGTTTGATCCCCAGCCTGGCCCTTTCATCCATTGGCCAATCTGGAGCCACCTCTCCATTACCTTGAATTGTTTGTTGTGTCATTCACGGTGCCAGACAAATCCAGGAACATAAATATGAGTTTGAAAAATGTCCCCGCCCTTAAAGATGAGTTTAGAGAATTTTGACGACAGCTTCAATTTAGTGGAGAAATTAATGGGAAATTGAAAGCTACTTGAAATCGGAAGAGGACTAGGAGGGCAATAAACAGACCTAAAGAAGTGGAAAGGAGAGTTTGTGAAATTTGGGTATGATCAAAATATACAGTGCATATTTAAATTTTAAAAATGTATTATGTTGTCATCAGTCCTCCTCAAAATACTTCCCCTCACTTCCAACTCTTACCCCATCATAACGTCTGCTTTCTGAAGCAGTTCTGGAAGTCCTCTTCCTTATCTTTAACAAAATGTGGATGATGCTCCTGAGTGCCATCCAAAAGAAAGGCAATTTCATAAAAACACAACTATGTGTCCTCATCCACCTTATTCACAGGACGTGGCACTGTGCAAAGCCAAAATGACCATCAAAGGTGAACATCTCGACTCAGTTCAGGACAAGGCAGCCATGACAGAACAACTAAAGACACCGAGGAAATAGGACTCCCAGAACTGCTTCAGAAAGTGGCAAGGACAGTTTAAGTGTGTTCAAAGCAAGGAGGTTTCTGATCTCACCTTGGAGTTGTGCTTCTAAGTAGCCTTTGGGCTTGTCTTGAGCCAGTTTCTCAAAGTTCAGCTATAAAGATTAGTCTGGGGAGCTTGTTAAAAAGAAAGACAGAGAGAGAGAGAGAGAGAGAGAGAGAAAGAGGGAGAGGGAGAGAGAGAGAGAGAGAGGGAGAGAGAGAGTACCTCTCTAATCAGATTTTACTCTGACAGACTCAGGATGAAGCTACAGGAATCTGATTTTTATTTTTATCAAGGGTTCCAGATTATGCTGATACAGGGGTGGCCACAGGTGTGGTAAAGCTGCCTGGGAAATGAGCAAGACCTGTCAATCACAAGATCCTAGGGCGTCGCCAGGACCCGTTCGTAGAACTTCTCCCAAGCTCCCACAGCGTGAAAGAAGACCTACGTCACGGGAAGCCCGCTGTTGTGCATTCCCACTGCAACGTGTATTCCTACTTTTGCGTTTGCCTCCTTTCTCTCTTTGTTCAGCCCAAGTTGACTCTGAAGAGCTAATTTCTCCCACATCCACTCACCCTGCCCCTTTCAAATAAACTCTGACACCGTTTTTGGCTTGTCTCTTCCAAATCTTTGTTGGGGGCAAGGACCTTTTGTTTTTCTTTTTGTTCTTATTTATTTGTTTGGTACCGGGGATCAAACTCGAGACCTTGCGCTTGCGAAGCAGGGAAACGGAACCACTAAGCTAAATCCCCGGCTCCGGTGAGCCATTTCTAAAGGAAAACCCGATAACACTGGGAGAAACGTTATCCCTCAGTATACAGTTTTGCACTGGGCTGCAACAGCTATTACAGAAATACGAATGGATGGGCTATTGAATACTTTTTTGAGACATTGTTCTGGGTACTTGTATACATATATAAAGAGTTACATATACATAGTTTCATTTAATCTTGCCAATAATACCATGAGGTACCCTTTGTCAGGAATAATAATGAGAAAAAAATGAAAAAGTGAGGCAGAGGCCACTTCACAGCTAGCAAGCAGGGAGCTGTCTTAGTCACTTTCTTGTCACTGAGACACAATACCCACATTGTAAAGGAAGAGAGATTTATTTCGGCTCACAGTTAAGAGTCCGTGGGGGACAGATCAAAGGCAGAAATGGCAGGGACCAGGGGCATGGTGGAAGAAAAACTACTCAAGATTGGGTGGCCAGGAACCCGCCAGAGAAGGGAGGAGCCCGGAAGGGAGACACGCCTTCCTGGGCCACGCCCCATGACCCTCCTCTTCCTACCAGACCCCACCCCTTCACAGCAAGGTAGCTACAGAACCCCAGTGGCCCTTCACCTTCCCAAAGGCCCGCCTTTGAGTGCCCGAGGCCATGCCGTATGTAAAGATGGCCACCGAGCAGCTCCTGCCGGCTGGAACTCGGCAGTTTGTGGGCAGGTGAAAATTCACACTGGTCCTCGTAAAGCCGGAGAAGTGCTTTTGAAGTTGAAGTAGGGAGTGTGAATTCTTCTACGAAAATTTCCCATAATCCAAATGGGTTTATGTTGGTTTTGACCACAGATATAAAAGATGTAGAGGTTGATTTATAAATTGGTAGTCCTGCTTTGCATATTCGATGAGCCACACAGTGTAGTGGTTTTGATTTTGACTTTGGAATACAGCCCATTGCACCTACGGACACCCTACGGATACTTGCCTTACCCATCCTTTCATGAGCCTGAAACCTTGCCAGCATGCTTTAGACAGCATGGTCTGCTTTTGGCCACCAGAAACTGTAAAATAGATTTAGGTTAAGTTTTATAAGTTCTCTTTCAATGTCTTGTTCCCTTTCAATGTCTGTTTTCTCTCTCTTTTTTTTTTTTTTGGTTTTTTCTCACTATGTGTGGGACCTAAATTACAAGCCCTTGCTAAATGGCAAAGGGCCTAGGAGACAGTGTCCTGAACCCCTCCCATTGTAGCCACAGCCCCGACCTTTGTTCCAGCTCTGGCCTCTGAATGTGGATCACTCTTGTATTGTTTGAAGTCTGGATCTGAAATACCTGTAAATTAGAGACTCCAGACATAGAGCCCCAAGTTAATTGACAAACTGTTTGTTCATCCGGAGTGTCTTGGTGACCTTTGAGACATCCTATGGGTGGTACCTGTCACTCATCCATATGTGACTGTTGAGCATGTGACTGCTGACCACCAGCTCAAGTCAGCAGACCTTTGTCCCCTGTCTGTGAGCCCAAAATGTTAACCCCCTCTTTTACTACCTATAAGAGGACCTCGGCCCCTGAGCTCGGCGCCTCTCTGAGCCAGCCACTTGGTTCTGAGAGTGCCGTCTGGCCAGACTAATAAAGGTCTCTTTACCATCTAGCCTGGTGTGTTGCTTCCTGGGTTTCTCGTTCTCCGTCGAGCTCCCGGAGCCTCGCTGGGTGTTGGGCCCAGCACTGTGGAGGCCTTTTTGGCTGTTCACGCTCCGTGGAGTGGAAGTGAGACTTTAGGTCTTACATATGTAGTTGAGATTTACCTGGAGCTCACTATGCAGCCCAGGCTGGTCTGGAACTCACAGTGATCCTCCTGCCTCAGCCTCCCGAGTGCTGGGATGACAGGCACGTGCCACCATACCCAGCTTTGTTTTCTCTTTTCACATTCCACTCCACTACTTTCTTGTGTCCCTGGCTAGCTGGGGTCTTTGCTTTTAGTAATATTGGGAATTAAAACTAAAAACAAAAATTATACAGGGAAAAAGAGCTTTAATTGCAAGGATAGAGGAAAGATAGAGAAGACTCCAGCTTAGGTAGTTGGAGGGGGCAGGCTCTGATACAGGAGCTCAGACTGCTCCACCTGCAAAGGCAGAGGCCAAGGTCCAAGGGTTAGCCGGTGGCCTGGGATCCAGTTGGTCTTCCTCTCACTCCTGGTCACATAGTTCTGGAATCTTGATGGCTGAGGGTGGATCCTGGGAAAGGATTATGTCTGTGGGGGCCCCAGGCATGTGAGGCTCTGCCTTTCCTGGGATCCAGTTGATCAAGGTTCAGCACAGTGGCTGGAGGCTTCCGGATTTAGCTAATTGCCCCTGTAAATATCTTATCTTTGTGTCCTCAGTCTTGAGGGGGAATAATATCCTACAAACTCAGGGCTAATCTATCCTGTTCAGCGAGCTCCTAGACAGACACTCCCTAAATGATCAACACAAACCCTATGCGGAGCTGAGATGAGTTTTCACCCAAGATTTACAGTAACAAAGGATACAAAATAATAGGGAAGGGTGAAGGGGGTGAAGGGAGGGCAGGGGAATGGGCAAAAAAATAAGAACCAAGATATATCATGTAAATATACAAGATCCCAATAATGAATATAATATTGTTTACCTTAAATGTACCAATAAACTTAATGGAAAAAAAAAAACAAAGTGTAGAAAATAAAGGTTAAACTTTGTTCCACTTTTAGATACCCATTGGGCATTTGTATGCCTAAGTGAAGAGTCACGGTTCATAGGAAAAATGCTTTTAAGTCCCTTACTATCCCCCTAGAAAACACAATTTTTTTTTTTTTACTGAGTTGTAGATGAGGGCCCAGGATTCTGCCTGTTCCCCATTTTTATGTGGTCACTAGCTGTCCTATAATAAAATCCTTCTATCTTCCCAAAGCCCCAAACCCTGGGGGTGGGAGTTCATGCTTCTGTGAGCACTGACCCCAAATCCACGGACTTGCACCAGCAGAGCCAATCTAGCTACAGTTGACTGGGTGGTGCTGGACACCTGACTCTAGCTGAGCCCATCTGACTCTCTCTGCTGGGAATGTGAAGTGTGAGCCAAGAGGTAGCCATCAAGGTGTCTCCCAGGAAGCTCAGGGGGCCACGCGGTAGGAGAAGCAGATTGCTCTACAAAGAGAGAAGGAAGCAGATGCACAGGTCCAAGAGGAGAGAGGAAGAGAGACCAGGAGCTGTGGAGTCAGACTGTGTAGGGCCATCCATCACCTCAGACTTTCAGTCCCTGAGTCCTTCCTTCCCAGAGATGAGTTCACTTTCTCCTCACTTGTCACAAGGTAACTCCAAATGCCTAAGTGTATTTTTGAAGAATAGACTCCTTTGCTAGAGCCATTTTGAGAGGTTTCTCTTATTCTCAACCCAAAGTAACTCAATTAAGATAGTCTCGGGGAACGTGTTTTTGTGCTTCCAGGTGATTGCCACCATGCCTGGATCATAAGGATGAAAACAGTTTAAACTTTTAAAATGTTTTGTACGGGTTTACAGTGTTGCACCAGGGCTGGGGTCCCTCTCATTGGGGCTTCCAGAGCATGACTGACATGATGGACAGATGCTGAGTTACATGCGCACATGCTTTCCCATAACTCACTCTGTTGTATGTGATGCAGCCCATATGCGTGACCGTCAATGAGCTCAGGTGAAGAAAGGTTACCATAGGTCGTCGGGCGGGGAGTGTCTAGTGCTCGCGCGTGTGTCTGCAGTCTGGAATTTTAGAACTTTCTAGGGCTGGTTTAGGGGCCTTTGCTCTTCTTATCTCTGCTTCAGGGTAGTAAGCCTCAGGCCAAGGGTTCGGGGTTGGCCCTGGGGTATTGCTCAGGTTCCGTGAGAGGAGGGGAGTAACCCCATAGCTCCAACTGTATCATCTGTATTAGATTTGCGTTTCCTCTTTGTAAAATAAAAAGGTAAACTGAGAAAACATTTAAAAAATGGTTTAGGGGCCTTTGCTCTTCTTATCTCTGCTTCAGGGTAGTAAGCCTCAGGCCAAGGGTTCGGGGTTGGCCCTGGGGTATTGCTCAGGTTCCGTGAGAGGAGGGGAGTAACCCCATAGCTCCAACTGTATCATCTGTATTAGATTTGCGTTTCCTCTTTGTAAAATAAAAAGGTAAACTGAGAAAACATTTAAAAAAATTTTACCACAACAC